ACATGATCATAATTGAATATGTGAAAATTTTGAAATACATATGTTTATAATTAAATGTAATTTCTTTTTTTCTCAATTACAGTACACACAATGCACAGGATAAATTGCAGCATGAAAGAGGACTTTGAAGAAGCAACTACATTGCTAAAGCTTCTTTAATCAATTAATGCAACATAGTTTAATTATTGAAATTTCTTTAATCAATTTGTATTAATTTTAAAATATAATATAGTTTAAATTGAAATAGCAATCGTTCTATTTCATTGACGTTGTATGTAATATTCATGTAAATATTATATATGTGTAAATTACAATTGTATCACACGATTTTATACAATTCATACATTGTATTATTTAATTTAACATAAATTATTTATTTTAAAAATAAATTAATTAATTTAATAAATCTAACTGTAACTTTTATTATTTTCCTTTAACTGCAACCCTCTCTAATTCTTCTTCCAAAATGTCATTTTCCAAAATTAGACTAAGTGAAATTCGAAAAATTCAGAAATATTGTTAATTTACACTTTGGATGTAAATAAATAACCAGGATGTAAATATTGAAAATCAAAACAAACAAATGGAATTTTTTAAACATGTTGAAATTTTTGTGAAAACTCGTTTGTTTTTTTATGTAAATAAACAAACTGAAATGTAAATAAACATTGAAAACCAAAACAAACTATCGAAATTTCGTAGATGTTGAAATTTTTATTGTGAGCAGGAATACTTTTCAAATTTCCCGCTTCGTAAACGATGCTAATGCAAAATTTCTTGGCGACACTTCTCGTTAAAGGATTAGGATTAGTCATTCTAGGCATTCTAAACAGATTGTGAAATGATTGAACAATCAATTTGTTAATACGTTCATTGAAATTTTTTAATAATGTACAAGTTATAATGATTTTAAAATTTAATAATATTGTCGTAATTATTTTTATAGACCATATTACAATATATGTTGAATCCTCAGGTAAATATTCTGACCAGAAAGAAGAAAAAGTTAAGAGTCCATTTATTCTTTCGAGACTAATACTGATATATCATGCCTCGTCAGAATATTCAATGACGCACCATATGCGTCATACGA